TATATATATATATATATTTAACTTTGTGGAGTGCTTTGCTCAGAGTTTTTGATCAGGAAATTCTATTGGGTGTAAAGGAAGGCTTCACATTGATTTCAGTAGATTTTCTATGTAATATATGAAAAAAAGTGGTGCCAGTGTACTTGAATAGCCATCTAAACACTTTTTTTTTTTCACTGTGGGCTGTGCTTGCGTGCCTAGTAGAAAGGATTAAACCTATTGCTTTTCAAAGTGAGGAGTTGATGTGACTGGCAAGAGTCCATTGTGTTCAGTTACATTAACTGCCTTAAACATCAGATTTGGTCCAAATGTTCTTATATCATGAACTGGTGATGAGGATGCTGGTAATGGTAGTCATTCATAGGTAGGTATCTTTAGAATGGATGGGGTTTTTTTGTTTTCCCTCCTTTCTCTGTTCTGCAGAATTCCAAGTTGTAGAGTAAAGGTTTATCAGCTCCCTACTACTGGTAGGAGGGGGTAGCAACTTAATTTGCAGCAAAATGTAAGTTTAAGTGAAGTTACCCATTTGTGTAGAAAAATAAGGCTTGTGATATCATTTGCATAGGTTTCTTGGTCTCTTCTACTTCCTTCTTGCTTTATTTCAAGGACTTTACTATCCATTCTGGAAATAGTTGATCTGCCCTCTTGAAGATGGGTGGAATTTAAAAAAAAGTGATGCTTAAGTATAAATGTACTAAACCGAAGTCATGAGCTCTCAGACTGCTGAGTGTACTCTCCAAGAGTAAAAGTAAGGTATAATAAATGTTCCTGCAGAAATCTATAACTGGAAAATGTGAACACTGGGAGTACTGTAAATGTGAACCTGTAGAAGTCAGGTGAGCAAAAAAAGTAGCTTATAATTTAGCAAATTTTCTGCCACATTTGTTCAGGTATAATCCTGTAGTTGTGAATATCTGTAATTATGCTGTTAATTGATGAAGTCATAATGCCCCTGGTTTGTAATACTGAAATAGTATTATACAAGTCGTTGAGTATATTGTGATTTTTATCCTGAAGTGCTTGATTGACAAAGAGGAGAGATGAAAGGTAGACAACATGAGATTATTCCGTTGTAATAAGCTTAGTCCTAAAATGTGCAGAAGGGGAATTATTGTACATGTGGTTCTTGTGCCAATATTGCTTAGAAACCAGTTCAATTATTACAGAAAGCATAACTGTAATGGCATTTCAGAAATTGTTCCTGGTGCAGTCATTGTGAAGTGTAGGGTTGCAATGCTTTAGTGGTTTCTAGATTAGCTACTGCAGTATGTAAATAGGTTGTCTGTCCTGAAGTTATTCCAAGTCCTCTGTAGTCAGAGGTACCCCCTTTATCAGGGTTTCTGTTAATGAGTGCTTAATAGTCCTTTGGTAGGTAAATAGAGCACAGATCTTCCATCAGAAGAAAAATGGCAGTAACCAGGACCCATTTACCCAAATCCGTGGTGAAGAGACAAGGGCTGTGTCACGAAGCATTAGCCAGTCTGTGCTAGCTGCTTTTTTATGATGTTACCCACGGGAAGCTGAAACTTAATTTCAAGTAAGTTATTCCATAGTGAAAGGCAGTCTAGGCAAACTCCTGGCACATAATGGAGTGAGAGCACATGCTCTTGGTGCCTGCAGAGCAGCTAACAAGTTACTGAATTTTACCTTTTGTTAAACTGCACTGTGCTGTGCATGCTTGGTCCTTGATGAGGAGATGTTTGGGAGGATGAGACCATATTCCCATAGACCACCAAAGTGAAGAAGGCCACTCTGTGAGCCCTGGTTCTCTCCAAGAGGGTTTGTGTTCTTCAGTGTGCTTACCCTTCCTTCTCTCCTGTCTAATTTTTAGCAGTGCAATCCAACCTATGCTGAACTTGACTGGCAGCTTGATTTCAACCAAGAATATTTCGTGGGGAAGCATTGGGTTACAACATTAGGGGTCACAGCCTCTTTGCCTCTAAAAGTGTGCTCTTTCTGATGGGCAGAAAGTAGGACTTGATGTGTAGGGCTTGGAATTTCCGCTATTTATGAGTGTTGAAAAAGCTCACTGATGTTCCTTGTGGAGAAAAGGGAGTGCTGCAGTACATTTAGTAACAGATGATGTATGACTGCTTTTAAAATTGTCTTCTGTGACACTGCTGTTAGTTGAACTAAGGAGACGCAGGCAGTGAACTCAGATTCACAGTTAGCATGTGCGGAATCATTTGCCCAAACAAGGAAGAAATGGCCATACAATTCGCTTGTATGGGAGTTAGTTGTGCTCTAAAAAGCTTTGAACCTGTAGAGGCCAAACTGAGGTCACGAGGCTTTTGCTGTAAATGATGGCAGAGGAGAGCAGGACATGAGAAACGCCATGTTCAATATTGATGCTAGCAAGTCTAGCCTCTCCCTGCCCACTGGGGGTTTTCCAGGGTGCCAGCAGTTTGAATTAGCACCAGTCCCACGGCTGCTTTTCTGCTGTGCTGTAGCTGAGCATGGCCTTGGAAATGTCAAGTAAAAGCAGCCTTCTACAGAGGTGTAGAATTTAATCTGTCAGGTGAAGACACCAATTTGAATTTTCCCAGGGACAGAGGTGCCAAGTTTTGCTGTGCATCTGCCTTTGCTGTGAAGATTAGGCTAGCCTAAGACATTGGGCCACATGCTTCATTTGAAGCACACAAAACCTGCTTGGAAAGATCTAGGCTAAGCACAAAAAAAGCCCATCCAGATGGTGTCAGTGGCAAAGTCTGTTTTAAAATCTAACTGTGCCTACAAGGGGTAAGATGTGACTAGAAGTTTTATCCCAGAGCTGTGTGAAGGGGGATGTTATGAGAGTGAATTCCTGACGTACCTTGCAGGGCCAGCCTTCAGTACGTGTGCGAGTAGCTATGGTGCCAAGGGGGAATGCTTTGTCATTCTGGTAGAAAGCTGTTCTGGGAGAAGAACAGTGTCCTTA